CCCCCCCCCAGGGGGGTTTGGGGCTCAAACCCCAGTAGGGAGCGTGCAGGAGGCAGTGGATAGATGTTTCTCTCCCCTTCTCCCTTCATCTCTCTCTAAAATCAATAAAACCATTCTTAAAAAAAAAAAAAGTTTAAAAAACTCTATCTTCCCCCTCAAAACATTGTGAATTTTTTTTAAGCATTCTGAGAAAAAGCAATTTTAGGTGTCATCTTAAAAAGTCAAATGATGATTTTTTTTTTAATTGAAAAGGGATGCAAGTGAAGTTATTAGTAACATTTAATATTTTTATATCAAAAGTCAGAATGTCAGTATTCAACACAGTTGTGGCCTCAGCATGTTGATTTATCTGCTAATCATTCAGGGTCACTGGTCATACCTAGTGTTTTGCTAGAACCATGTAACATATATAGAGGAGAAAGCAACCAATTTTAGTTTATATCAGGGTGGTTGTTTGGAAACAATAGAGTAATTCAATGATGGTTAGAAAAGAAACATTGTTTCAATTTATTTGGAAGAAGCTTTGTTCTGGGTAATCATAACTCCCAATGTTAATGCCAAAAGGTATAAATTTTCAAAGATTACCAAATGATTCTGAATATTACACCTTTTCATTAGGACACAAACTACTGATTATAATTCAAGTCGTAACTACTGGTTATAGTTCAAATCACACATTGGCATAAAAATAATCATTGCATTGGATATTAAAGAATCTTGAAAGAGCCACATCATCATTGCTTTGCCTACCGTATAAGGTTGCTATGAAGCTCAAGTTAAAAATATGAAGACACTTACCATGTCATAAATTACTAAAAAAGGTTCGATAACGATCTATCAGGTAACTACGTTCACCTGACTTATGCTCCAGATCCCAGATTTTATGGGGCTTAATGAAAGTTCAATGTAAATGGAAAATAATCTTGTTCCACGCTCTTTTTATAGTAAGGAAAACGAGAACAATACCTTGGTAATTATCAGACCAAAATGCATTAATAATCCGCAAGAGTTTCCTAAGATATACTATTTTACTCTGTACAATTATGTTTTATATAAATCAATGTAGTAATTTCCTACAGATAGCTTAGTCAAATCAACCAAGCACATTCAACCATGAATTCCAATACCAAAAATTTGAGATTGAAAAATTTAAAACACAGCATGTCTTTTAACATTTGAACAGAACAGTTTATGTGATAAGAAACATCTCAAATCTCCTTACTGGAAACATTTTAAACCTTCAAATTCAGAATGATAGCAATACAAAGTTGTAGTGTTCTTTTAAATAAAGATAATTATTATTTAAATAATAGATTAGTAGGTCGTTTACATTTAGACACACAAGAACCAAGGTGTTATTTATTATTTTTTTTTTTATGAGAAACTAAGCCTTTTAAAGAAAAAGAAATAGAACATAGCCTAAATCTAAGTCTAAAATTTTTCCCCAACAAGAAAAGCTTCCTATTTTAAGAGGGAAAAAAAGAGATACCTCAGTGTTAGGACATCCCTTCAACAGAAAAAGATTTCAAAGAGAATTTTAAATAAAATCTTCAATGACTAGTTAACGGAAACAATGACTATTACTAACATTAAGAAAAAACTTGAAATGCTTATGCACAAATAAATCACTGAATCTACTATGCCTTTCAAAAAAAACCCCAAAAAACCCACTGATTTTCTCTACAGTCATATTTTTGTATTTTCCTACATATCCAAAATGTGATATACAACCCAGTATTTATCTGAATTGGGGATGGGGGTGCAGGTACACAACTTAACCCCTACCAACAGATACATCTAAATTTAGAACTTTTTCCCAGTAATTCCATTTTAACAGACCCTTCTGAGGTCAAACAGAAATGTCAGCATACTTACAAACGCCTGAGGAAAAAAGATGACAAATGAACACATCAAATGATAGTTGAGAATTGAAGCTTAGCAATGCCGGCCATCAGTTATCTATTTAAGAGCCTGTGGGAACCTTTGAAAGTAAAATTTTGTTTTGCACCATGTTGCCAACAATTCCTTTCTTAAAGAGACGAATTCAGCAGACAAGACTTGGCTACGTTAGGTCAGGAACCCCATAGGCGAGTCCTCCGTCTAATACTATGACTCGGCACACTGTACACTGCATTGCTTTGACTTACGGTTGGTACTTAAAAGCCTTTTTACCCTCTTTAAATAGGAAGCTTTTCTTGTTGGGGGAAAGATTTAACCCTTTAATCTCAAGTTAACATTCCACAAGTGTGCAAATACACCAGCACAACTTTTGATTATGTGAAGTATGAAGGGTACTTTTCATTGCAACGTAAGCGTATTCGAAAACAGCTTAAATGAACATGCACAATGAACATGTTATATCTGCAGACATTACATCCCTTGAACTTATACAATTTTTACTTAAGATACCTGTTAATAAGCAATATTATTTTAAATTTTTAAATAAAATTTTCAACCACTGGCCAATGAAATACTGAATGCCAATATTCAGACAAAAACTTGAAATGGTTATGTATAGAAATATCACTCAGGCTGTCTACCTTGCCTACTTTAAAAGACTACTTAAACTTATTCATAAGTAGCAGCACATTAATTGCCGGAGAACACATACAAATAAATGAATATTTAAAACTATCAATCTGTCTCAGACTTAAGAAATAGAGAAACAATCTTACCTTGAATAGCCATTAGAAAAAACCGATCGACCAGGGAAGCTCAAAGTCCCCAAGGAAGTCAGGCTGTCATCTCCAGATCCTTGGCACCTATTCCAATTTTCTGAACCAACAGGGACTGGTGGAATGACATTAAAAACAGGTTTCTGATCCTGCTGTTGAGAAAGGGATGCTGTATTCATGTCATAGTGGTACATCTGTCCCCCAGAGGTACTCACACCGTGAACAGAAATGGCAGACATTTTATTACCAATTATATTTGCCCCAGAAAAGCTTGGCTGACAGTAAACTGGGCCCAGTTTCTCCTGCTTAATTACTCCAGGGGTGCAGAGTTCGATGAAATCTTCTTTTTCTGTTTTCACTTGGGGCAGTGTCACACTGCTGGGGCTTGGTAAGATCAGATCTCCATTATCCTTAATTTTAGGTTTAGTGTCTGGTAAAACGAGAGGCTTACAGTCCTCACTCAAGTTTCCTTCCGAAAGGAATGGATCATCCTCTCCTGCCAAAGGAGAAAGCAAACAGTTTTCATCAATTAAGAGGTCTGATCTCCAAGGGCTCTCATTCATCTCTTTACCTGGGGACCCAGAAGAAAACTCCAAATCCTGCAAAATGTCGAAGGTTCTTTGGTCTGTGGTATACAACTTCACATTGCCCCCGTTGGTGCCAGTCTGGTTCTTCGAATTCTGCTGTTCTGAAGACATATCAGAATGTGTTTTTGGAAACTCGTTCTCTGTGGGGGCAGCAGAAACAGTAGCAGATGCTGAGTTCTTGGGGTTCTCCGGAACACTGGTCGACTTACTGAGGTTTGCAATGCTTTTTTCCAGAAGTCCAAAGTCTGTTTCCCCAGAGGGAAGGCTGATTTGGCCCTGCTGTGGGAATCCCAGGTCATTCCCCATCACTTTTGTTTCTGTCTCTCCCATGTACAGTCCCATAGAGAGTGAAACTGCCTGGGACAAATCTGGCTGCTGCACATTGCTTCCTGAGCCTTTTGGAAAATCGACCAAAAGTCTTTGCTGCTTGGAGTCTGACTGAGAAGCAGCAGCCAGTGAGGAGGCAGATGTAGAAACCTTCACGGTAGCTCCGCCCCTTAGGGTTTTATAAAGGTCCATTACATTTCCCCTCTCCCCAACAAGCACACTGCTAGGGATTTCTTCTCTGACGGAGGTTAATGATTCCTTCGGGTCCATCAACGAATATCAGCTACAAAAAGAAGAGGGGGGGGGACATAATAAGCTATATAGTCACATTATCTCTGTGATCCAATTAGTAAGAGCCTGTTAAATGAACCTTTCAGTTAACTCCGAATCTAATTCCTTGTTATCAGAAGAGTTCTGTCTTCCAGAATAAAAAAGCCATTCCCCTGCTCCCATTCAGTGTGCCACACTTAAAAGTACAACACAGTCCATCTGCGTGGCTGACAACAAAACTGTATCAAACTAAGCTTGGCTATTCATCCTGACACTCACAGAACTGCAACTTCGTTAATTATAGACATTATAATTCATTACATCTGATTATTCTAAAGGTTCACGGTGGTGTCAAAGTATTTAATTGAAAAAAGAACTATGATCATTAAAATTCCTGCCTCTTTTCAATCAAGGCTGTTCAGCTTTTCTGAGAATCAGTACACATAAAATTTGATAAATACTATGCTAAAATTCTGTATCTCTGATTATCCCCAAATTCCCCTTCCTGCTAGTCACACATTTAAACCTTTTAGTACAACCTACTGGTAAACCGTGCACATTTTATTTGAAAAATAAACAATGATGATCTGCCTATCTTCCAATAGGCTAGGAAAAGGCTCGTATTTTTAACTCATATTTCTTACTGAATGTACCTGTTGAATAGTGTCTCCCTTCAAATTTTGGAGATACGAAATGAAATACACTGTATAAAGACCAACTAAAATTTAGATTTTAAAAAGCAGAATAGAATTAGAAGTAGCTTTTTACTACAACTTAGCTTATTTAAATATAACAAATGCAGCACCTCTCAATCTGTAAAACACAATAAAATATAGGTGAAGCTACATTTCTTTAAAACTGCTTCAGATCCTCAGTATAAAATAATATACCTCTAAATAAAGACGTTTCTTTTCCTGATATCGAAGTACTGAACAAAAACAAAAAAAACACCCAGAACTGTAAAATCACACTCATATAAATCCAGGTGTAAAAAAAAATCCAATAAAATGCTCTGGATAATTTTCTCTGCATTTAAACCTTCACCTGTGCCAATTCTGAGCTTAGTCTCAGGACAGTTAGGTTGCTGGTACATTGTTAATAATCAAGATGTTTTTAAAAAACGGGCAACGACTTTGATAAACATACTCTCAACATTACAGCCAAATCTCACCCAATGAAAGGAAACTTTTCCTATACGGAGACTTTAAGAAACAAACTTCATTGGCCTTCACGGAAAGTGGAGTCGGAGGAAGGTAGAGAGAAGGGTGGGATCTGTCACTACAAATCTTGTTGGTAACCGGCTTACCTCCCTGCCCCTGTTTATCTGATAAAAGTCTCTAAACACTAGGTATCAAATAAAACCTAATGAATTTCCACGCGGCTTTGACAGCTGCCTTCAAACTCAAAACCAAAACAATGCTTCATAAAACGAAAAGATTCCTCCCTCCAACGACTTTATGCCCCAGTTTACATGGCCAATAACTCCGACACCTTAATGAGCCGAGCAGCGGGGGTCTAAAGCGGCACGACCAGGCTGCCAGCGCCAAGCCAGCAACCCAAACACCAAAGGCGCGCTGGTCAAAAGTCGCTCCAGAAAACGAAGACGGCTAGGGAGGGTCTTTTCTGAAAAGGGGTCACTTATAAGAGTCAGGTGAGAAATGCTGCTAAGCGCCAAAGAACCATCCCTCGGCCGGGTAGGGAGGGGGGGGTAGGTTAAAAGAGAAATGTGTCCAGACCTGTTGAGTCTCTCCCGACACGCCCACTCCTACCCGACGACGCCAGCCCCGGCCGAAGGCTGCAGGCTGCAGGCGGTGAGCCCCCGCGCGCTCGCACTCCACGCCCCGCGAGCCCGCCACAAGCGGGACGAGCTGGAGCCTCCGCAGAAACCCCGACGCGCTCGGGCGCACCGGGGCGGAGTGGAAATACTCCGCGAGTCGAATTCACACTCGGCTCAGCCTTCACCATAAAAATGGGTGTCTGGGCGGCCCCCCAGGGAAGGAAAAAGAAGGGGACTTGAAAGAAAAAAAAAAGAGAGAGAGACCACGATTCCGCGCCACGGAACGAGAGGCTGGAAACCCGGGGCAGCTCAACGCGGCTCCACTCGCAGTCAGAGCTCAGGTTCCTCCCCCTCGGCCCCACCGGGGGACGGCGGCCGAGGAGAGGAAGAGCCCGGCGCTGTCACCCGCTCACTGCCCTTTCGTCACCGTCACCCGGCCCCGGCCAGCCCCCACCCCCACTCCCCGAGGCTAATAAAA